AATATGGCTATTTTCATTCAAGGATTGTTTGAGAAGGTCCTAGGCTTCAGTTTGGGATTAGACCTCTTTCTTGATTAAATGTTTTTCTCTGTGACATTTCCTTAATCTGTAAAGAAAAACATTGCTCTATTCTCACAGGGTTGATGTGGATCAATTAGTATTGAGAAGACTTCATACACTGTGATATCATATAAAGAATGAACAATTTTTCCAACAAGGCAGGCTTTGGTTAAACATAATTGAGGCTCTTGCTCTGTTACTTACTTCACAACAAGCTTATGTTGCTAAATTGCAACAGAAAGAGTGGTGGAAAATGAAGAGAGCAGGAGGCTTTATGGTTAGTCTCCTAACCAATATTTCCTTCAAGTACATTTATGCCAAGGGGTTTTATTCAGCCCCTCTGGTTCCAAGGAATATCAAGAAGTAATACCATAGCTTACCTATTAATCAGATTTTTACTTCTAAGTGATATCAATGTATCTGATTTAGTGCTGATAGCTTCCCATAGTGACTTAATATTCAAATTTGGCCTAGTAGTCATTTATACTTTATGTAGAAAAGTCAGTAGTCCTCTTCTATGTTTCAGTGAGCTGGTCAAGATTTCTGTCTGGTTAATTGATGATTTGGGTTATAGAGGTCATTTCCATTATATTACAAGTTTAAAAACAGACACTTACTGTTGGGCTATTTAGGTCAGGAGGTGTAGACATGTCCCCAAACAAATCCATCTGGTCAACACCCTTAAAAAAGTATTTGGATTAGATTCAGATGTGTCTACCAAAAAAAGATGAGTTTGTATATTGAAGCAAATATTTCCTAAACTAAAGTTTAGGAAAAATAGTTGTTACAATTGGTTTTCATTTAACTAGTACAGATTTGGAATGAGGCTATTTAGGTCAGGAAGTGTAGACACATCCTCAGACAAATCCATCTGGTCAATCAACATCCTTAAAAAAAAGTATTTTGATTAGATTCAGATGTGTCTACTCAAAAGATTTCTTTATATATTGACATAGATATTATACAAATAAGGAGGTTGGATGGCTCAGGGGTTAAAGCATTTGGCTGCTAACCAAAAGGTCAGCAGTTTAAACTCACCAGCCACTCCACAGGTGAAAGGTGAGAGAATCTGCTTCTGTAAAGATTTACAGCCTTAGAAACCCTATGGGGCAGTTCTACTCTCTTATGTAGGGTCACTATGAGTCAGAATCGATTTGATGGCAGTGGGTGGGTTACACAAATGTTTAGGAAAATAGTGGTCATAATTGGATTTTCATTTAGCTTATAT